AAGTGCAGGAAAGTATTGGTTAGCGAGTCCGGAGATGCCACTTGAATCCTCTTACAATGCACGGTCTGGAACAACACGGTCAAGCAGTTCACGCCTCCCACGACGATTCTAAACACTTAGGATTTTCTCGTATCACAAATCTGGTCCTTTAACTATGCACTGAAATTTAAAAGTTCATCGAATAATAAGATAATCAAGGAAGGATTGCTTTCAAAAATGTCAAGTATGTTGGAGATAGCAGAATTTTAAATGGAAATTGCCATGCTGAGATTCCAACTCCAAGATGTGAGGCATGTTGGGTACAAAAGAAAAAGAAGGTGCGATGCACAGATAAGAAATGTTGAGCGGTAGATATTAGAGGAAAATATTACGGCTGGAGGTGTTAAGCTATTTTTGATGCCATTGAACTTTATTAATGGGAACGGATGTTAAAAGCGCACAAGGTCCTGGTGATCGAAATAGTAATGAATTACTGACTCACAAATGACAGTGGAGAATGTAAACACAAATGAGACAGACCCGAAGAAACTATCGGATAAAGAGGCGATTAAATATATCCTTTCCGTCAGTAGCTAGCAGCAACGAAATAACTTCAATGGCGTTAGCGGGGCGAATTCCATGAATCTAGGTGTTCATAGTCTTTGCCTCATCTAATATCTCGTTGTTGTGTTAGATTTCCGCTTGGTATCAGGGAGAGAAGCTTAGCGCACGGCCGCGGGATAATAAACGCGCGTGGAGGGCGGCGGGATAAGCGACAGCGCGAGCGAGATAATGACCAAATATCCCGACTCCTTAGAGAAGTGGCGGTTTTATCTGACCTCTTTAGCGCGCTCAGTGTTCAGCAATTCATAACGTCAATCAAAAACAGCAGCGGCTCCGTATGTGATCTACGTGAATTATAAATCAGGTAAATGCGGAATTACTGTAGTTGACAAAAGTCACAATAACTCCATACAAACTCATAAATTCGCGGAGACTCTGCTTTCATCTACATCTTTGCGCTTACTAAAATGTTTTACACGAGTTACGATCTGCCCTCGATCCTTGAGCTGTTTAGTGGATTAGCAAGGTTCCGAAACGAATGTAGTCGATCGAATGCTGGTATACGCTGCCAGTCAACGAGTTCGGACAAGCAGTCAGTGATTTTTCTGAGCATTGCCCAAAACTCACCAAGAATCACGGGATTCACCTATTCGCTCGAGATTATTTTTATAATATGATTTGATAGAGTACAATCGTAAATGCGATGGCAGTGCAAAGCATGTGATTCTGTAATGACCGTTACCCTTCATGAGCTAAGCTTGGATAATTCGATTCAACGGCGGAAGTGATGTAGTAGCAAGTGGCGTTGCTTACCACGCGAGCGGTCCGGGGATCAAATCCTGGGTCGTGAGTCGCCCGGGCCAACCAAGCCTTCCATCCCTCCGGGGTCGGTTAATTGGTACCAGACTTGTCTGGGAGGATAAAAACACTGACTTGTACATCGGCTGGCCCCGCAAGTCATTGTATAGGCCACATCGCATTCAAACGCCACTACGAATGTACAAATGGAAGTAGAATGCGTGCCGCATCCCAAAAAGGATTGATCAACGGCAATGCTTTATGTTAATCCTTTAAAGGAATCTTCCACGGACCATGGACCAGTGGGCGGGACCGGAAGTGGTTTTGCGACGAAATGCATGGTAGGTACGGATCCACGTTCATGGGAAGGTTTGAAGTGAATCCTGTTCACGTTCGTGCGTTCGACACGTGGATCCGTACCTACCATGCATTTCGTCACAAAAACTTCCGGTCCCGCCCACTGGTCCATGGTCCGTGGAAGATTCCTTTAATGCTCGACATCCCGTACGGCCGTTGACGGAACGAGACGTATAGAACAGCAGTTATACGATAAGAATCTTACTTCCTCACTTGTGGGATCGGATCCCAATCAAGGCAACATTTTTTTTCATAGAAATCGATATCTCATCGATCAGTCTACATCAACCAACGGTAGGCAGAATGTAGTTCGACTGGTCAAGGAAGAGGAAGAAGAAGAAGAAGGTCAAGGAAAAGGAACGGCTGGTTGTTCAATAGGGTAGAAAGTAATTGTTGCTATTTATTCACAGTTTAGTTCCAGGAATAGTTAACTTTGAAACAACACACATCACTACCATGATTTAGGTAAGTTAGAGCAGAAATGGTTTCAAAAACGATTAAAAGAAATCTCATGAAAAAAGTTCTTGATACGGAGTAAATGGGATTTTTGCTCTCAGGTCTGACCACGTTTGAAAGGAGAACAGGAAAGAGGCACAATTTCTAAATATGGATAGAGAGATAATCTCTAGGAAGCATTGATGAGATTATCCAGGCACATGCCTACATAAGCCGGATAAAAATGAATCATGGAGTGTCTAGAAGGTCCGTAAATAAATATTTGTAGTGGAGTTCCTTACTGTTTGCTGAACTTGACTCCTCAAGTGATTTCCGCCAAACGCAAGCGATCTCTAGTGTGGAACAGGCTGCACTTGGCAGCGTGTTTCGAGTTACAAAATGCCAGCACCCATCGACGTGATCGAATCTGCTGGCACTCAATACTCAATTTTTCCGCTCACTAAGTAAGTTGTAAGTAAATGGAGGGGTGTGTTTAGTTATCTTGCCAAGCCTTTAAATGGGCCCCTAAATTTTGAAAATAGACCTATACATTTATTAAGCTGTCTAACATCCACCTTTGTTTTCAAACTACAGGGAGCGTCAATACACCAAGAAGGCTTTTAACAAGTTTTCTAGCTTGTTAGCCAGCGGGAACTTTTTTATCTGAGAGGATCATAATTATTACATTCTTTCTCAAGCCCCGAAATAAGAATTTGGCATATTATGGCGACACGCTTCATCAAGGGAAAATCGTCTAAAGATTTAGCTGCCTACTGTAGCCATAAAGGACGGGGTATTGTCAAAAAAAAGCATTTTTGTTACCAACATTCGAAACAAGGGTGAAATCAATAACACTTTGCCAAACTAAGGCTGAATGTCCCCGCTTGACAGAGAGCGCATTCACCCATGGAGAGGACTTCATAATTAACGCGGACGGCATCAGAAGAGGCTGCTACCAGAGCATGTTGCATAAGGCGATCCCAGCGGGGCACCTGGAGAGTTGACTCACTATTAGGACTTTCACTGGTTGGAAGAGTGCTTCACGTAAGCAGAGTACGTCGCCAAAAAACACTATCCGCCAGCTGAAGCATACAGGAAACTGATTGAGGACGCTTCCCAGGCTTAAGCATAAACGCTCGTACAGTCTCTTTGAGCTAGATGGGCGGTGAAAAATATCATCATAATCTAAAGACGGAGAAGGCGGTTGAAGAGATCTTACTTTTACTGATAGAGAGACATTTTAGGAATACTTTGCCGTAAGCCCGTATCCATTCATCAACGACGGCAAATCTGCGCGACAAAAAATGGTGATGTGCGACAGTGGCAAAGTGCCTTTATTTGCCACTCTCTCCCCCACCCCTACAGGGTGGGCAAAAGTTTACGGTAACAACGCTTGCAATTTTTGCTTTAGACACTAGGGGTTTTTGATGTTAATTCTGTGTATTTACTACCACAACTCATTCTATCATTTTTGATTTCGATTGAGATGTATTAACTTTGGAATGGACAACCCCATATCATTATCATTTCTCGAGAATCAAAAAGACGATTCAGGTCTCCAAGAGACTTCCGTTGACCATCACGACGCTTCGTCAGGCTAATAAAGGAAGCGATTACGATAAGGAAGAGCCGCATTGGGTCAGTATATGCGAAATACGAGGCAGTTACTTGGCTGCCAAAGAAGCGAAGTGTGACGCTTTCACGATGAACAGTGCCCTGAGATTGGCAGTCGAGTTTTCACGTCCGAAGCTGCTCCTGGCCGGGACCCAGGGTCATGCCCCACTGAGTTCAGTCCGGCTGACATTGGTTAGCTTGCATCCTGCTGTTGGCTGTCATTTTGGACAAGAGAGTCATTTCCTTTTGTGTTTCCAACGTACCGTGTGTAATTGCCCTATCAATCAAATCCATGCTTCGCTGGCTCGTGAGGCGGGCTACGGGCGCTGGTTAACACGTCCGAACAACTTTCTTTGCTTTTGTTCGGCCGATCATCCATGGTCAAAAACGAAAGGGCAGTCAAGGCAGTACTACTTTGTGTTTTCTCGACGGATATCACTGCTTTGATCGCCATTGCCGTACCATTTAGCGCACCCACGCCCCCCTCTGAACCCCACAGAACTGACGTATCGCTGCCTTCAACCAGCGCCAGTATACATAAACATGACAGGATTTGCCTCTGTGACTCCACGAGCATTGCGGCGAGTACACGTGTGAGGAACTGGAGTCCAGCTTGCTTCAATAGCTGAAATTCTTCTGAAGCGCCCTTAAAAAAACGAAAAAACGCGAAAGCACGTTTTTCGCTACTTTCAAAATTTTACGGCAAACACCGTCGTCCACTCGATGTGAGTTTGAGCCAGCCTACACACGGAATTGCGCAGTGGCTGACTACAGTAATCTAATTTCGTCCCGATGCTAGAGGCTGTTATATTTTCACAAAACTAATCAATTCATGGGAATTTATTGATTCTCGCTCTCGTTAATGATGGAAACTGATGTTTTCTTGTCATTAGTGCCTGGCAGAGTTTTCAGTGCTACCATCGAATATTGGTCGGCTGCAGTATTTTCTTTCGTTTGCATATGAGTGTAGAGCTTGTACACGACCTGTAATGACACCCATGGCTTTCAGCATGCCTATCTCTACCAAGAAATTCGAACTACTTAAGTCACTGAATGAAACCGTCAAGGCTTACCTTGCCACTTGACGTCGGGATCAGTGATGTTGGACGTCCCCAGACTTCATCAGCGTAAAGAATGAGGTCGTCAGCTGTGAAACAGATTGTTGTAGTTATTTGAGCATTGGCCATTTCAAGCAAAAGAATGTGCTACCTAAACTCCAAGCAGAAAACACCATCGATGCCTCCCTTATGTTGTCAGAGTTCATGCTCATCAACAAACTCGAGTAAGTTGGACCATTGCATGGGAATGGCAACGGTGACAATCCCACAAGTCAGAGTGTTGAGACCGCAGCTGTCTCCTGGCCAAAATCCATTCTACAAAAACATACAATTGTCCTATACTCCTGCTGCTTTGGTTAGTTATCGATCGAATCATCTGATCGAAAATGCTGGAACAAAAGAGAAAAGCTTGCCTTCAAGACATGTAAAATTTGAATTAATTTGATAAAGCAGAAAAAATACGGCAGGACAAGCTTCAGGCCGCTAAACGCTACCGTACACATAGTCCTCGCCTATACAGATTAGTTACTGCTGATTAAAAGGGATTTTATTATGCAAAGGTGGCTTATTGGAAATATTGGTAGAGGTGGTTAGTGAAGTAGAGGTGAAAAAGAAACCATGTGAAACAGGCCCGGAACCCGAGAAATGGGACCCTTCCTTGCCCGTTGATTTCCGCATTGATGCGACTCTCATCGTGCCCTCTTCAACGCTAACGCTCTCTCTGCTATGTCGGTGGGCGTTCCGGCCAACTGCGCCAAAGGGAAGGCCATGCCAGATCGCCGGGGCATATCCTTCGATGCGAATTGCGTGTTGGTCCGCACCCTTAGGGGGTCCGCCTGTCTCTTCACTAAGTAAGTTTCCTATTCTTCAACATTCGTTCTTATCCTGGAATTCTCCTTTGAACTATCAATAGGGTGGCCTCAAATTACGGTGACGAGACGAGGTGATCACAAAATATTACAGAGCTAAAAAAAAGTCAATCGGAAAGTACAGCTGCATTGATTGAAGGTTGATAAACAAGGAACGAGGTTGCTTTCCCAAATAGCCGACCTTTGCAATGACAAAAGAGGCTGATATTCCGGCCAACCCACTCACCACGGCGTGTTAGTGCCAAACGGGCGAAGTAAAAACTAGGCCGTAAAAATTCATGCCTTTCGGCTCAGGCCTCTAATCGCTGAGAGATCTCTAATGCTCTACAACCGTAGTAGGCGAGAATTATCTCGGTATACGTGGGTCGAAGGCGCATGCCACGACTCTTGTACCGCAATTTCAGGCAACCTCGGGATAGTGCTCCACTTCCAAGGTGAAATGTTGGGTGTAAATACCGCAAGAAAATTTTGAAACATTATAACAAGACGTACGTGCTTATTGCATGTCGGCTCCAGTGCTCCAGTTCCTTCGCATGCACAAAGACCAAAATTAGCTCCAGCCAATCCGAGAAACACGTCCACCTTCGAGGTTAATGGAGTGCCGAGGTTACATGCGGCCTAAAGCACATTATTTTCAATTCCTGGCATTCAATGTTGACACGCGAACAAAACGTTTTCCCGGGAAGGTATCAGATCGACAGGATGGTCGATGTTCGAATAAAGCATGTAGAAAACGTTACTTGTTTACACATCTCAACAACTCTGCCTAACAAATTTGCAAACAATCCGCTGAAAGTCCTTCTCAAGCTTTCCCCAACGAATTCCAGGTATGTTAGAAATGAGTGGTAGGGTGATCATTAGACCTCTCGGGTGTTAGGATTAGTCTAACTTTCACAGAAAACAATTATCAAAGCCGACGCCGGGATCGAGTCGATATGCGCGCGCTTCATTTACTTTTTTCAGGCGGACCGTAGTTCATCATTTTTCATTCATCGCCTTTCAGTCGCGGCATCCCTTCGGCACTTTCGCTTGGGATTAGTGGACATCGAGTTTTTGGTGCTTCGGGTTGGCCCACCATTTCACATTACAATCCAAAACAGCAATTGTGTTGAATTGCCCATAGAAGTGGTCAAAGAAGCACGGATGACTCACTAAGGCTATAAACCTCTCGCACGCCGAGCGTATTCGCCAGAATTCACTAGGGTATAAAGTTGGTGGAAGTAGAGAATAATTCCAGGACTCTGTCATCGAAAAGCTATAAGTGCTGCAGAAAATTTATAGTAAAGGACAAAGCATTTGCCGCTGATCAATCCCTTTTTGGGATGCGGCACGCATTCTACTTCCATTTGTACATTCGTAGTGGCGTTTGAATGCGATGTGGCCTATACAATGACTTGCGGGGGCCAGCCGATGTTCAAGTCAGTGTTTTTATCCTCCCAGACAAGTCTGGTACCAATTAACCGACCCCGGAGGGATGGAAGGCTTGGTTGGCCCGGGCGACTCACGACCCAGGATTTGATCCCCGGACCGCTCGCGTGGTAAGCGTGCCACTTGCCACTACACCACTTCTGCCCCATACTATATAGTTAGAAAGCATTGAAAAATGAGCACCAAAGCACACTACATTGAGCTACGATGGAAAGTCATGATGACTACTTTTTAGTGGAGGGAGATTAACAAAAAAGCTGAGAAGACATGCTTGGGTTATCCCAATCCTCTAAAGTCTGCTCTGCCAATCTTTCCATACAACCGCTAGGCCGCTCTTACTACGCTGGAGTGGGTTGGTTGGTTGGCGTGATAGGCGCGCTGCCATCCACTTCTGACCATATTGATGCATGATAGAGAATTCTTCACAACTCCCAGGAGGGAATTATTCGCCAAACTTGGTAAACGATTCGAGAACTGGATACAGTAGCGGTCAAAAGTGTTCGCCGAAACGGTTTTTCGTGCTTCTCTTTTTTTGCCAAAAAAATCAATGGTGGCCTCGAAAATTTTTCTTTTGAATATCCTGATTCTTTAAGACTTGAGGATATAAAAACACTAGAAAACATAGTATATCAATCTTTGGAGGGCGTTGCTCAAGCGAGAAAAAATAATGCACTAAAATCGTTTCGGCGAACACTTTTGACCGCTACTGTATATAGAAAATACGTGTAATGGTGTATGCTTTATTACAAAGGGATGCCTCAATTTGGGTTGTATCGCACACGAGGTAGGAGCAGAACGAACGTGCCCTCGCTGGGTTGCTAACTAACAATAAGTCGCTCATTGGCTAATCTAAAGGGCTTATTTGAAGGAAGTAAAACTGAGAACTGATTCTCACCATCGTTTCCGTTCACAGTTCCTCCTTTGATAGCTTTCCGTCCTAATGTCACGCCCATACTATGCGTGATGAGCGAAACTTTTGCAGCTCCCGTGTAAGCCAGAACAGCCAGTACAAAACGTCGCAGACGAAGCAGATCACGACAGTTGTGGGTTCTGTCACGGAATATGTTTGCTACAAATAACAACCAGCGACAGTATATAAATTAGACTAATTCAGCTGTTCTTCTAGAAAACACACTTCATCAGCTGATTCAAACATTAATATAATAATATAGATATAATAATTCGAAAAGCACTACAGCAAAGTGGGGGAATTTACTGGCCGGATATCGTCTCTATGTATTCCTCATTGCTTCCGGATACAAGCGAGCTTGAACCGTTGGCGCAACACTCGTACTCCTCGACTTGCCAAGGTCGGTGTCCAGCGAATCCATGGCTACGTAAAGTCTGACAGCAGCCTAACGACCACTCTTACCGAAGGCGATCGTGGCTCTCCACAAAACTACGCGCTCAAAACAAGTCGCAAGCGCCCCTTCGAGCTCTTGGACGGCATGAAGCTGGTCGTCAGGTGTGTAAGACTGACTCCCCATGTGGAAGTGTTTTTCCAAACTCCCACTGGAGCAACAGCGTTACAGAGCGCATGGATAAACCGAGTAAAGACGAGGTTTCCATGCGCCTTCATTTGCCTCACGGCGGGTCACCCCACCAGAGGCAGCCGATCGAAAATTGGAAGCGGGCACGGAAATGAACGTGATGATACACTTTCCTGTCATGTCTATTCATTTGTTCACATTAGGTACATAGAGCGGTTAACAATTGGAATGTTTAGCAAAGGCAGCGATTACGGTATGTCCTAGTTGGGTTTAGACGGATTGTGGGGTGCCAGCGGCGAAAAAAGAAGAGAAATCCATGGAACGCAAAACGGGACCCCTTTTTTGGCCGTTGGTTTTCGCTCATGAACAGGTAACAGCTCAGAAAGCGGACGTATGAACGAGTTCACCGCAACGCGTTTGGTGGCACCATGCCAATCCATGCTCCAGTCGAGTTGCTCCAGTTGTGCCGCTGCTGGCAACACAGCTCGTCCAAATCACCAACTAAACTAGTGGGCGGATCGCTTTTGGGAGTCCTTCTCAAGTATTGCTCAGCAACCAGCGCACCTTTCGTCATGAAAGCACCCCAGAAAGCAGCACTTGTTTCTTTGGCAGTCAAGCTGCTGCTTCGCGTGGTGCGTACGCTTCCCCGATGAGCTCCCCTTTAACGTAATCGCTTCTCTCAAAGTATATTCGTATGTAGTAGCGGTCTTAACGGTGAACCTGGAGGATTGGTTGGTGCAAAATCACAGGCTGCGTCCTGCAAGGACGGGTTCCGTCGATGATCATGTCTTGACCAAGTAGAACTGGCTGGACCAGAGTCACGGTGTGAGGAATGTGGCTTCACGCTCCTAGCCTCAACCCATTTAATGACTCCGGACTTGAAAAAACTTTATCGCTCAAAGTTTCCTGAGCGAAATTTCAAAGTGCATGTTTTCTCTCCATTTCTTCGGCGTGATGATGATTAAAACAAGGAAAGAAACAATTAATGAAAAAAGTATCTGAACTATTCCTTAGGTCATTGGGAAGTAAAAAAAAGAAGAATTGAAACTCCCGGAATACAAAAATCAGAAACACAACGAGTGTTGGTTATGGATGGAGCCCCTGTGCTGAGACGATAAGCTTCAGATATCACTTT